TCAGGAAGCTGTGCCATTTTCCAATAGACTGTTAATAATCGTATGAAATCTATTTTTTTTAAATCCAACTTTTAAATAAATCTGCAGAATGGGCTATTGAGACTGAACTAATTCCAAAAATATTTTATAATTGGCTTCTGAAAATGTTATGTTCCATCAATAAAACAAAACAAGAATTTACATGTTGTGCTGATGTCAGATTATTATTTTTTGTTTAATGTCACAGAAAAAGTCCAAGAATTCAAGGATGGCATAAATGATTTAACTAGGAGAAGTGCAAAGCCGATTGAAAAGAAGTATCTCAAAACCTCCGATTACAAAACCAATCCCAAAACAGTAGAAGTTGACTATTACCAAACCACAGTACAAGAATCTGAGTACAAACCAGAAGTGGGTTTCAGTCAGCAAACTCAGAAACAACCTGGCAAGCCAATATCCATGGAGAACTTTTTTTCAAATGGAAAATCAAGAGTTGCTCTGATAGGAGGAGCTGGATATGGTAAAACTGAAATGACAAAAACATACCCGTTAATTGTGCTTGATGGTAATATACCAGAGCTTAGAAAGGTTGAGGTTGTTCTCGCATGAACTTCGAGATCTTGAGGTTCATAGAAGAATTAGCCCAAAAATTTCTTATTTGGAAAACGATTTGAATGGCGATGTCATTGACATGGGTGTTGGATGGATCAGGAATACCTGAAAGGTTTCTTCTCGTTCTCGATGGAGCTGATCAATATTCATCTCCCGAAAGTCTTGGAATCCCACATGGCAAATGCAATCATACAGAGAAAGCAGATCCCAAGCTTATTCTAAACCTCATTCTTGCTGGCAAGCTCTACCAGGCATTCGCATTCTTTTACTCCTCACGTGAGCATGTCATTCGAAATTTTGAAGGAGAGCCCGTCCGCGAGAGAGTCGTCGCATTGGGCAGGGTCTCTGAAGAAGACGTCACAAAACTTGTCAAAGCTTTCAGTGGAGACAAGAGTGCCTATGTCATGAATCGTCTGCGGAATGAAGCTAAGGCTATCTTCTCTCTATGGCCTCCATACCAATGTTCCTCATTTCACGGTATCAGTCTTGATAATCTATGAACAATATAGTCCCGACACATGACAGAAATTTTGTTGTTTGTCCTGCGTGACACCTTAAGATCCGAACATATCACCATGAACCAAAGAAAACTGGGAATGTCTATCTATGACGTCGTTCACAGCTTGAAGGAAATGTCATTCACGGGCACAAAACAAGAAGTTACTTTCACCAAATCAGATTTAACCCCCAGGATTACTGTGGATCATTCAAAGATATCATGGTACCCATTTCCTGGATCAATCGGCTCAATCAAAGGCTTCTGGAAGGACATTTTGTATATTTTATTTACGCATCAGACAATTCAAGTAGGTGAATTAGGTCCACTAGGTGGGGGTATTAGGGTACAATATTATATATATCTAGCAACAGTAATGTATCGAACCAAATATTTAAATCTAATCCTCTCAGTCATCCGTGAAAAGATTTTAAGTTTGAAGTGATTTTTAATCAAACTACAAGGCAAAAATTGCATTTCAAAAATTTATCTGGGTAAATAAATCTACTTGGTTTCATTTGAATTATCGCTTACGTATGATTGTAGATAAAACTCGTTTCTTGGTTTTTAATATTTCATTGCTCAAATTTTTTTTTGGTTTAAACAGGAGGCCCTCACTGCCCTCCACATTGGCTGAAATACCTATTGAAGATTTCGAAAAGTTGTTTCAACCGAAATCCATAAAAAGCATTGGGTCGTAGTTCGTCAATTTCCTATGCGGCATTATACTCCAACCCTAAAACATCCAAAATTGCAATGGAAAAAAGAAGCTGAATGTCAGCATTTTGAAGCCAGGGTGAAGTTTTCTATCATAGATAAGTGCAGAGGTCGCAACCTTTTGAACTCCAGCGTGCTTTCATGAATAACGAGCACCTTGGCGTGGCAAACATTTTTTGTGTTTGGTGTGCCATAGCCAACTGTCTGATTTGTTATTAGAGGGATGAAAAACAAATTTATTTTTATATACGATACGTGCATGGACTTTTCGACATGTTTGCATGACTTAAGTATATGATTGAAGGCCACTTTACGATTAGTTTTGTAGCTCGATCTGTAGAAGCAACAATACTAATGAATAAGAAAAATTTACTCCATCATGTAACTCTTGCTGAATATGAGGAAATTTTTGTTCCTTCAATGAGGTACTCAGCAGCCAGGCACACGCAAGGGTTTTCAAATAAAAAGGGGGGGCGGGACCGGGTCAAAATCGTGCAATTTCATTCCCTTCTGAAAAAGTTGCCGCGATTAACGCGCTCGTGAAAAGAGCGACTTTTTCAGCGTATACAGACTTTCTGTCGCATAAAATATTGTATTACAGCTACAAGGAATTTATAGAATTCCTTCCAAATATAAACATACTAATCTAAAATACAGCTCAATCTTAACATAAAAATATGAAATAAACATGCTAATTGTATTCAGTTTCGATACTTTTTTACTGATTTTTGCGAATTCGTTATCGCCGTTAGAATAATCTTCTGTAATGAAAATGCCATATAGTACAATGAATACTATATCAAGTTATATCAGTAAATCAAAAATACATTTCGATCGGATAATAATGAATTTTTTGCGTGTGCAAAGTATCAATCCATAACCGATACGCCATATTTAAAATGTCTTGCTTTATTATAATTACTTTTCTTTATTAACCTGCGGTTGTGTCGACAAAATAAATGCCTCAGAACCCTGAAATACACAAGCAATCCTGCGCCCCGCGGGCGTAAAAAATGTGTGGTAACTTTCGGGTGTATCTAAATTTGATCAGTAATTTGCCATTTTGGGAATTCTACAAATCTGCTCTATCGAAATGCTGCACCTCCAGATTATTTTTAGATGAAACTTTTAGAAAATCCCTAAGTCTGCTATAAAAATTCCACATAGTAAAATTTATTTAGTGCAATAAATTGATTGAATATACTTTAATTATTATCTATCACCACGACTCGGGAAAACGTTGCGTTTCCAACCTTATAATATGAATCGTATAATATAACACAAAAAATTTCCGACGGCAATTTAAGTAAGGGATGAAAATGCAAAATCCGCTCACAATTAACAGTGTTTCCATTCTAATGACGTTATGATTCTCAACGCCGCCCAAACTTATGTGAAATTTTGCAATTTACAATGCCTAGAGAAGCATATTTCAATCTGTCGCAGACAATTGTTCATGGTTCATGGTCACAACCAATTGTTCATGGTTTTATTTTTAGTATTTTATAATGCCGCTTTTCAATCAAAAAATTTGCGTTGCCGCTTCACCTTTTATTTTACTTTAGCATCTCGCTGCCGATGATTGTATATTAACTCTCAGCGAATTCACAATTCTGGGAGTGATCAAAAAGAAAGTAATTATTATCGTTGTCGTTGAATAATTTTTGTGATTCAGGGAGTAAACACCAACTTAAAAGTGTTTACGGGCCTAAATAACACGTCACGCTTTTCAAAAACAATCGGCGATTGTTAGCAAAAGCTGCCAAAAGTATGAATTAATAAACTTTATATTCAAAATTTTCACAATTTTTAGAGGGGAAAAAATAACCCAACAGTAGTATAAAGAGTTGCAAGTAATTCAAGTAGCAAAGCGTTTCTAAACGTAGCCAAAATCTGGCAACACTGCACCGCTCATGCTCATCTACACGATTCTCATACAGATTTCGGCCTCTGATTTCATTGCTTTCTGAAAGTAACGAAATGCGGCAACCCTTCACGCACACGCTTTTTTACACTGATTTCACGTACAGATTTCGGCCTCTCGTCGATTGCCTCAAATATTGCATGTTTTTACTGTTATTATTTTATTTTTGTTATTTTTTGTCTAAACGTAGAATGTTTGTCGCACTATGAAAATAAATATCTAAATCTCCCTCAAATTACTTGGCGTGAAATGAGAAATCCTCTCGCGTTCCACAATTGGCACGTGTGCAAGGGGTTGCCGACCCCTGGTCTAGTGTTTCTAAACAATTCAAAAAAAAGTTTATAATTTACATTAATTTCATTGTAGTCAAACAACACCAAATTTTACTGGTCACGTGGGATGAGCAATATTTGAGGTTTCAAGTTTGTTTCTTAATTAGACCACGGTACCTGTACTAAGTATGGTATATTGCAGCAGAGTGGTATCGACATCTCTTACAGTCGATGCGCTGCACTGTCAAGCATTTAGTTTAATAAAAATACCTTACCAATTACCTATTTATAGTAAAGCTCGACAATTACAGTAATTTTCAACAAATTCACCTGAAGATTTAACCCAGATGAAGTCATTCAACTGAGCTCTTAGGTTCTAGATTTCTTTAGTATTGCCAGTATGTGGGCAGAAGAGTGTGGATCGTCTATTGCAGAAAAATCTTATTTTGGCCTGGTGTTGTCGACACAATTAAATTCTTATTCTTTGGTGAAGAATGCGAAAGCCTAGCAGTTAAGTCATTAGCTGTGTTAGTATCGCATGTTACAAATCTTGGCTTAAATCCCCAAGCATCCCCCCAATGCCCCACCTCACCCAAGTTATAATAAAATGTGGTACCCTTCAAAATAATATGGGCTCCTTCAATATAGTGAGATACCACTGGCTGCTTGTTTAACGCTTTATCCGGAGCGAATGGCACGAGCGAGCCCAATTGGAAAAAAATTTAAATTTTTTCATTTTTTTAGAATATGCCACTCCAGGTTTACAAATTTGGAATTACGATCAAATTCGTTATCATATTTAACATTATGATTGACATCCTGCTGACCTTTTTTAAAATCTGCTTTTTTTCTTTACAAAATAAATTAAGTTTTTTCAGTCTTGGCTGCCTTTCTTCTCATATATGATAAAATCCTGTCCTCTACAGCCATGAGCCTCGTTTCCTCAGTTTCAGTTCTACTAATCAGACTTAATTCACAACATTTTTGTTTCTAAGATATTGATCTGAAGAAAAAACAATCGGTCTTGTTATCAAGCATGAAGAACCAAATCGAAGGAAGAGAGGCAGTGAAGAGAAAAGATCTTCTAGAGCTGATGCAGGCTTTAAATGAGTCAGGAGATGGCGTCAATGATATCATCAAATCATCCATCCGTGTGATTAATTTCATCAACATGTCTCTCACTCCAAATGATAAATACACTCTGGCATCTATTCTTGCTCGTTGTTCACGTCTCGATTCACTCAATCTGTATGGTGTTTCTCTCACATCATCTGATCTCGCACTTCTTGCTTCATCAATGCAAAGATCAAATATCAAGGTCAGTATTTAGTCAGTGGTTGCCCTCCAGAAGTATGTGTACCAATATGCAGGCAACTAATTTTGTTCGTCTATTTCACATCAAGTTGTGTGAATGGACAGAAGCCTATGGGCAAGGGTATATTTACCTTGCTAACATAGACAGTCCCCGGACTTGTAATGAAACTAAAATAAGGAAAATCAGAATAACATCACGGCCTCCCTCTAACCTGTGCCGGGGGCACAGCCAGCGGGGGGTTATTGGGGTCCTAACCCCCTTGTTTGAAAATGTACTTCATGAGAGTGTTCTACCATTGGCTTAAAACAAAATACAATGTCGTTTTTCGGTAAGCATATTACGGTTTCCCGTCAAAATTATATTAATTTGCTCGTTTCACCTTTACGCAACACCGCAAGAATTTCAATCATGTTTAGGGTAGGTTATCTCCGCACCTTACGCATCGCGATTGCTAAAACAGTCGCTTGAATTTAGTAGAAATTTACTTACAGCTCTCGCTATCAGATAAACGACAAAAGTGAAGAATCTTTGCATCTTGGGGACTTTTGTTTTATTCCTGCGATCATTACATATTTTTAATCCCTGAGTTTTGACAATTTGCGTCAACACCATTTTGTGAATTTTGAAACGTCAAACCAGATAAATATAATAATGTAATTTATAAAAATTGCCAGAAATTTTAGAGTGACGTAGTATGACCTCGTAGAAATTACATTTATTCAATTCATTTAATTAGTAATTCACCTCAAAACATTGACTATTGACGCAATGGCTTATTTACGGCGTTTTTATTCATTATTTAATACAAAAATAACTTAGTCTCTATATTAAAGTGGGAAAAGTTAACTGCTAGCTTCATAAATACCATTCCGAGGTCATTCATGATAATATAGTTCGCTTAGAATTGGGTTTGCAATTTACAAATTGTTATAAAGAAATCAAACCCGACGCAAAAGATAAAATACACAATAAGATTAAAATGTGTTGTGAATTCCTCAATAGCTGTCTTCAACATTTACACAGATGTGAACTCACAGTTTTGCCTCAAATATGAGAACCAAACTTCGGTGTTTGCCATTGCGTGAAAATTAATACTTAATAAAAAAAATTATTAAATAAAATGGAGCGAGCTTTAATACAGATTACACGTTGGCCTAAACGCAGCATTGCTTTTTGAGTTTTCAGTCCAATATACGTTATGCCACTATTTGGTGTCATTAAAAATATTCAAATTATATGGTTTATATTTTGCCCACCATTAATCTCGGCGTATTTAAATATGTTATTGACTGGCTATAAATAAACTGACTCTAACATTAAATTACGGCAGATAATTTTTTTTATGCCCATTTAATCGATGATTTACGTGAGCTTGTTTTTGTGCTCATTATAACGTCACTGACGTCCACGAGTTGTACTTCTCTGCAAAATTAATATACAAATTTTTATAATTGTTTTATTACTAAATACGGCACTCGAAAAATATTTTTTTTTAGTTAATGGATTGTTATTTCGCGACCAAACTGAAATCGACTTGAGAACCATGGCTATATCATTCGTTTATTACCTATATTCATATTTGTTGAGACGTTCAAAATTCCATTTTGTTTGGTTGTATTTCATGTACATACAACTCGTTTGTGCGAGACATCGGAATGAAATATGTAGGCTTGTAACATTGCAAGAGTGCGGTTACATTTTTTTCTTTCCGTCAAATAGCTAGATCATTTGTGGAACAATGAAGAGCGAACAAGGCGACATAGTTATGACCATCTAGGGTTTAATGGTCGACGATTACTAGATGTTTGAAATAGGATGTACGAAATAATCAAGAAATGACGTCAGGCTAAGGTAGGCGAACTGCACCCAATTCTGTATACAAGTGCTTTTCAACCGGGTATACGGTAAGTGTATACCGGACCATACGTAGGATAAACAGCTAATAAGCGGTATACGAAGGTGTACAGCCTAAGTCATGGATTCTAAACTCTCATATAATGAAAATGAAATATAGAATGATCAATTGGAGACAACAATGCAAATGTGGCGCGCATGAAAAATAAAATGTTATTCACATAAAGAACCTACTTGAGCACATTGGTACATCACAAATTATCTAGATAATGCAGGCACGTGTCTGGAGTTGTTGATCTCGGCTGCCATGCACGTCGCTTGATTCACATTGAACACTATTCCCGTTGAGGCGTTGACGATAGGATCGTCAGTCAAATTTACACCGATTAGAAACAGGGGCGAGCAATTACTTTTACGAGCAGGTCGGATCCAGCTTGTTTAAATCCGGCCCGAAGCTGTGTGTGCTGTTCCTTGCTTAAAACGTTCGTAGGTTTGCATACGTCAAAGATCTGTTTTTTATTTTGTTGGTATTCATACTTCGGAATATTAATTCGGATAATTGAATTCGGGGTAGATCTGTTTCGTTTTGCACATTATATTGCGAATAATGCGCGATGATTTACGGTGTCACGTGCACTTACACAAAAAAATGCTTCTAAAAAAACTCAATTTTGTGATCGTAAATGTGTACTTTTTGCCTTTGTTTACAAACTATTATGGCGTGAGGTCAATTTTTCTTTTTTGTTTATGCCTGATTTTTCCTTTGAAATGCATAAAAATCTCGTCTCGACAGATAAATATACTACAGCTCTAAAATTGCAGCCGGTAGTGTTTATCTCTATTGTTACGCAACAATAGGCAGACACTACATAACAAAAAGTAAACGACATAGAAAGGTAAAATGATTTTATCGGTTCATATACAAAACCTTTAAAACAAGACACAATAAAACTTTTGTAATAAAAAAAGTACGTAAAATATTCAATCTTATTTTAGTTTTATTTAACTGGTCAAATTTTTGTGGCACACTCAGCAACTCTCCCCGCTTTCGTTTCTTACCCTTTGGGAACCGCTGGATTATTTATTTTAGTCGACGATTTTCATTAAAATTTTTATATGAAATTTATATCCATAAAAACTAAGTCGTAATTTCAGCAGATAAAAGTGGGCCGGATCCAACTGCGGGCCACAATTTGCCCAACCCTGGTTTACAACTTGCAGACAGTAGCCCATTAGATTGCATGATTATATTGCAGTATCGCCATTTTTAGTTTTTTACAATTTTTGCTTAAAATTTAATGTATATTTAAGCTTTAAATAAAGATTGGTATTTGTGCTTTAGACGCCTTACAGCGTGAATTGCCTTTGGGGCGAGAGTGGGAAGCTCAACATTTTTCTCGCACATATTCAAGTTTCAGAATGCTGCAACCACAAACGGGTAATCAGAGAGGCTCAACAATTCTCCAAATTCAAGTCGAACCTGCAAACCACCTAGTCGGCACGTACATTTAAATATATAGCGCTTATAGAATTTGCGCTTGAAATAGCTATGTCATGGATTTATAAATAAAGCCCCAAGCAGAGAACTTCAGGCTCATGAGGGGTTGAACGCCGGAATCTATAAACTGATGACATCAACAACAGGGGCGTAGTCAGGGGGGTGGTGTTGGGGTCGGAACGCTCTATTGGAACATGTAAAAATAAAGCATCTTTCCGTATCATCATAGAATTTTTCGTAGCTGAAACGCTTTTTAGACCAAGAAAATCAATGAAAGACACATTTTCCGGTCATTCGCCAGCTTGGCAAATAGAAATTTCAGCAGACCCTCTTTGAAAATTTCTCGCTACGCTCCTGCGCAACATCTTCAGACCAAGATGAGAGAAACCCGGTCATTGTTATCAGTGTTCACTATTAGCGCACTTTTTTGCAAAAAATTCAAAAGTGGCAAATAATTTTATGCGACAAATAAGATGCGTACTAGTACTTTTGTGACCTAATTTTGCATTCCATAACGATATTTGCTGGAATTTTAACCTGCGTGGTGCAGACATAGGAGATCAAGCTTTCGCATTAATGGCAAAATTCTTGTTTTTAATATGATTATTATACAAGCACGCTGATTCTCCTTCTCCCGCAAAAAAGCTCGGCGGCGTCGATTAAATGTTGGAATACATAGTAGTGCGTTTCTTTGAACCAGAGTGGTCATGTGACTGTCAATGAAATCGAAGAATTGTGACCGAAGTGCACGATTTTCTAGTGCAAGTATGACGGGTCTTTGTTTTCTTCTTAGTGAATTTATTGGAGCCATTCAAAAAGTCATGATACTCGTAGGGGTGGGCAATATAGAATACCAAGTCCGGAGGATTCAAATTCTTGCGACCTACTGGCGATATTCTGATTGTTCCATTGCAACAAATTTCAAACTTTTGGAATACGTGAAACATTCTATATTTTAAATTAAGCGACTTTTCGCCGCCTTAGGATTTTCCCGAAAAAAGATGTGTACCAGCGTTAGATGATAGATAAAACATAGTTTGCGCTTATGTACTTTCCAAGACGCCCCTTCCCGAAAATACAAAGTTACTATCGGCAAAAAATTGGTGTTTTGTTTTCTTTTGCACTCCCAATAAAATAACATTTCCGGAATTCAAGTGCGATGAATCCGTTCCTATCGTTCAAGCTTAACACACGTTTGGTCGAGTGTCGCGCAATATTTCAGTCAACGATAAATTCGAAATGAAAAAAAAAAGTTGCCACACATGGTTTGTATAATAACTGAAAATTAAGATTTTGCAATAAAAATTTGTCTCAAGATGTTATTTTACGAGTCTTGCCCGCAGAAAAGGCGTAATTACTATTAAAAATAAGAGTAATGGAGTAATGATGCACAGAAAAACGAAGTTGATTTTATTGAATTGAAAAACACAAACGAGAGTTTTACATTTCATGCACAACTAACCAATGCTACATGTGAGATTTGTGCACATGAACGATTGAATATCGCGACTGTATGTCTGATATCTGAAAATGCGAATCGTACTTCTCTTTCAACATTAATTTCCAGGATTTCAGCGATCATAATGTCGAATAAAAATTATTTATGAAATGGATTGATATTTCGCGACACACTTCAAATTATTTGGAAACCACTGTCATGTCATTTGTTTATTTTTTATATTCATGTTTTTATCGAGAATCATCCTCGTTGTATTTCGTGTACCTTCGCAAAAGAAAACTCTTTGGTGTCATCATTCCTATTAGTGTAATTATAATATATGGAAACGTTGCAAGTGACATTGGAATGCGAATATTTCATACTAGGTCTGCAGCATCAAAGTGAGTGGTATTCATGAATGCTGAACGTTCATTGCATTCCTGAAAATTTTGCCAATATATGATTGACTCGCACGCAAACCAAGACAAGCCGATATTTAAAAATTACAGGTCTTTGCATAGGCTCTGAGATAGTATGATATAAATATAAATGATAAATTAAGTCAAGCTATCTCATGAAACTTGGAGATTTTCAAAATGATCTTGCGTAATATTTCGGAGAAAAAATCTTCGGAGGAAGCGTAGGTCAACTTATTTGTTAAAACGGCGGGTGGCGACTTTCAAAGTGATTTAAAATAAATTAATAATTATCCGAAGGGTTAGGGATAAATTGAAAAGTTGAATTTTCGGCGCTATCTGTCTTCTTAACCCTAATTTGATAATTACTATTTTTATTTTGCACCGGCTTTGTACAAATGATCCAACCCCCTACTGTAGTAATGACTCCATTCGCAAATCTTTTATGCACAGACTGCGGAAACCCCATATAACAGTCATTAGCACCGGCGAAACATTAATGTATTCCTAAGGCGAAGTTTGGCATTTGGCACCGAGCTATGGCGGGTAGTGACTAATAGCGATTACAGCCTGCATGTGCAAATCGTTGTCGGTTAGATGGAAATAGTAACACAAATGTGAAAGCCTTTGCTGTCCACGCGAGTTAGCAACCGACACGAGTGGTTGATTGCACGAAAGTTTCGTTCGCGACATGTGTGCTTTCGTTACCAATGAATTTGCTCGTTTTGAACGAGGATTAAAAGGAATTCCGTTAACGGAAAGGCTCCTCTTTAATTTGCAATATTAACGGAAGAAGGGCTTTTTGAGTATCAATGCTGTGTTAAATGAGTTAAAACAAAAGGTAGAGCACCTAACTGGTTAAAATTGGCCAAAGCATTTTTGCACTTATTTTTTCGACTGCAAAGCACTTTCGGACTCATAATCCGCATAGAGTTAACACTGATTGTTATGAAATGTCTTAGTTGTAGCTATAGCAACGAAACGTTTTATCTCATAAGTCAGTGGTGTGCAACCTTTTTCGCAGGCGGGCCAAATATCAATAACCGGGTTAAACCGCGGGCCGCACCTACATTTCACACAGGCTTTCTATAGTTGCAGGCACAAAATGGTGTCTTTTTGTTATTGATCTCATGGTCCTTACAGAAATGATGAGGTAAAACGCATTAAGTTCTTAGAACTGTAATTTAAAGATATATATTGTTGCACCCAATTTAAACGAATTCAGTGAGAAATTTGCTGCTGGATTCTTTTCCCGACTACTTTTATCCAAATTTGCTTAAATGGAAGTGCTAGCAATTCGATGCGACGCCCATTTTAGAACAAAAATATATTACCGAAAAGTGCAATATTTGAAGCCATGACTTTTTCAAATGTGGGAAGTAACTTGATTGAGAAGTTTTCAGTATATTCAAAATGCGCCAAGTTTCATTTCCAAATAATTTGCTGTCAAATCTTATTCTAGGTTCGATTTAGACAACATCAACTGATAGGCTGGAACCAAAACTCATTTAGCTATTTTATCTTTTAATATTAAAATTTTTCAAACTGCTATTCAGTTTCCTCCGCGGGCCGCACAATTTTCCCTTGCGGGCCGCATTTAGCCCGCGGGCCGCACTTTGCACACCCCTGTCATAAGTGATCGTTTGCAATATTATTGCTCGCATGCATCCTCGCCTAGAATATACCACCAAATTCTGGTTAATCACGAGCACTTTACTTTTACAACGTAGAAAAGGAATTCATAAGACCAACTTAACATTTCTATGGTGGCCCATCGTTGTCACGCGTAAAATTGAAAAATAAAAATAAAATAGAAAATAAAAATAAAAGTAAAATAAAAAATAGTTGTGAAAAAACAATAAAAAAATAAAAAAAATTAAAAAATTAAAATAAATGCAAAAAAAAAATTAAAAATGAAGCGAAAATAAAATAAAAACAAAATAAAAAAAGCTAAGAAAAAAAAAAATTAGAAAAAAAAAAAACGTGAATAAAAAGAAAATAAAAAGGTTGACAACGACGGGCCGCGTCGTGGCCCATCGTTGTCACGTGCTTTTATTTTAAGAAAATTTGCTTCTGCTTGGGACCAACGTTGTCATGCATATTCCTACGCGCACAAACGGTGTTTCCTGGGTTTCAAACTCACTGATTTTCTTGAGCAATATTTAAGAGAATATAGAATTGAGTACGAAAATTCGGGAAAATTGTTTTTACGTGTCGAAGGTAATTGAATTGGAGAATGCTGCTCAACTGCTCAGTTGTCTAGACACTCTTGCGATACCGGTACCGTCTGACCGCAATTGTACCCATGCAGGGTCTCTTTTCAGCCATTATAATCAGTACCTGTATAGTAATCGTAATTTGTAATAACTGCAAAACTAAAATGTAAATAATTCACAAAGCACAGACTTGAATTATTAGAAAAATGACTGTGTGCATAAAGTAGCCTAGTTAGACTCGTCCGTCGGCTCTAGCCACTACTGTCTGATCGTACAACCACGAGGCTGGAAGGCGATTATGGTTAGACCTGATTTCAATGGAACGTGCATGTCGGCATGTGCATACGGTATGACATACCGTACAGCCGTAACGTACCGATCCAGACGAATAATAAATCGCGCGGGCTCAACCATTTATTTCAATCCGTCCCTCGATTCACCATATTATTCTACTAGACTATCCGTATTTCCCACTCGTTTCATAAGTGACTGTATGCTGGGTACCGGGTAAGATCAGACAGTATCGGTATCGCACGAGTGTCCGGACAACTGAGCATTTAAGCATCATTGTCCAATTCAATTATCTTCTACACGTAAAAACAAATTTCTCGAATTTTCGTATTCAATTCTATATTCTCCTATTAATATTTTAAATATATATATTACTTCTAGTTGAACTTGTATCATGGAGAATTTATAGAACATTTGCATATTAAATTTATTGAATATTGCTCAAGAAAATCAGTAATGAGTCAGAAACCAAGGGAACACCGTTTGTGCGCGTAGGATTATGCATGACAACGTTGGTCCCAAGCCGAAGCAAATTTTCTCAAAATAGAAACGCGTGACAACGATGAGCCACGAGGCGGCCCATCGTTGTCAACCGTTTATATTTTTTTCTATTCACGTTTTTTTTTTTCTAAATTTTTTTTTTTTCATTTTTCATTTTTTTTATCATTTTTTTTTTATTTATTTATTTTTTTTTTCATTTTTTTTTTTCAATTTACGCGTGACAACGATGGGCCACCATACATTTCTCTTCTAAGTCTGTCTCGCATAACCAGTACAGTGCGATCTGAATCATTCCCTTAATTTGGTTTACTCCTTCAAGCTATGCATCTCTGTTGCCTTTGTTTGTAAAATTTATTTTTTTTTCAGATTAAAAAGGTTGCATTTGGAGAAGGAATATCGGTGAGTTTATTAACTGAATCTTATTCAACATCAGTGTTTCTGACTTGATCAGTTTGTTCGAATTTTGCGAATAATATTTCAAAACCGAAACTAATTGTCATACCGGTGAAACACTGATCAGCTACTACCATAACTCATATTATGAGTAGTTGTCTCTCCAAGCCATTGAAATTTCAATCAAAAGTCACTCTTAAAGCCAATGTTAATGTCCATAACTTTGATTTGATTTTAAAAAGTCAAAGTATGATGATTTTGCTATGAACAAAGCTCCAAACAAGCAACTACTCCATATAGCTTATAGGGCTGCGATTTATTCGGTTTGTCGTGGAAATTAGTGGGTGAGGCGGTGAAAGTTCAAACCCCAGATGGGTTGATCGGCCTTTCATCTCATATTTATATGTGTTGGGTAGCGTTACATTGAAATGCACAGAAACGTGTGCAAACATCAACTCCTTTTCATTTCGATCATCTCGGTGACAATTTCATTTTCTGACTTGTATCTAACCGACACCAACCATTCACACCTGAATATATTTCTTCTGTGAAATTCAGTTTCATTATAAACGTTCTGAAATGGTTCACTATGCAACAAAATCCTGTCAGAAAAAAATGTTATTCGATTTGGCACCGACCATAAACGACAACGGAATGGGCACAAATATCAGTAAGCTATAATTTCACGTCAAATACAAAAATATTATAAATATAATTTCATGGGTTCAAGCCCCATGTCCGCCACTTCAACTTAGCTGTATCAAATTGGACAGTAAACTTGAAATCAGTGACATTCTGATTGTCCCAAAACCTATTGCCTTCCATCAGTAGCTGCTTGTCCAGAGCCTTTTTATAGCAAAACATTGAACACATTGACATATGGAACACATCTCCATTACATGAATCAGCATCCCTGATAACAATCATTCTACAACCTGCTCAGCTGACATCAATCATTGTTTATACAGAAACTTCTCTCCCACGATGGAGCTGTTGCAATCTGTGATATGTTACCTCACATCATCGAGGAGATGAGGCTGCTTCACAGAGTACAACCTGAAGATGTTATGATGATTCAGAGGAAATTGGATTCAATCCCAGCAACGGTGAGTTGTTTGTACCAAGCATGATTTACTTGTGAGCCAAGTCTAATAAAACATTAATCCCATCAAATGAGACAACTTTGAACTTATGAAAAAAATATAAAAACTGTGAAATTGACTGATTTCTCACAGTAATTCAATGTCACACTCACTATGGGTTAAAGGATGGATACAAACCTATCCAGGGCAATGTAGAAAAGTTACTTCTAACTCTGTGTCATACAAAAACCTACTATTTTGTTTACTCAAGGTTGATAATTTCGAATTTAACTCCAACTGCTCACCCACCCATCTTCGAAATCGACATGGTTGTAAGTCATTAAATTCCGATTTCTACTCTCAACTTTTAGAAATCTTAAATTTTGCCTTGAGTTTAAAATTTTGAAAAAATACAAAGAATTTAAAAATACAATTACCATGCTTACTTCAATATTTGGTAAATTTACTGAAAACTTGCTGTAGTGAAGCCTGATATAGAAATGTCACATCCAGTTTACACTAAATTGATAGATTTTTCTGACTCGACTTCTTAGGGCATCAAACCATGCATTATGGTATACTTGCTCATGTATTACTTGCTTTCATAAGACACGACTTGGGTTATTTTGGGGAAAGAGCAAACTCTTGTTGTTGGGGAACCTGTTCCAAGCTAGGTAAAATAGTTCCACTGAAACAGTCCCTATACAAGCAGTTTCTTATACATATAGAGCTTCTGTGTTTGGACCCAAATCAACCCCAGACTGATTCGGCAAACAGTCGTTGAAGTATTATATCGAATGAATACGAGCACTCAGAGACTGAAAGTATTGATAGATTACTCCGTGGTAATAATGAAAGCACTTAACGATTTTGCATTTATGAGATGAAGATGTAATCTGTGGTTTATTTTGCCATCTTGCTGATTACGCAACAAAGTTTATGTGAATTACATTAAGAATGCCAATCCAGAGTGAAGGGATGATACCATGGAAAGTGTTTATTCAGCAGCTTAATTAATTTATCTTATTTGTTGCAGGAACTGGAGGTGTGGATCATGGGAAACCGTGTCACCTTGAGTCAGAAGAAATAGATGAAACCAGTCAAACCCATGCAAATATTTATCCAAACATTATTCCTTCACAAAGTTCTGTGGGAGATCAATTATGTTAACAGTTGATGTATCACGATAAGCATTAGGCATACGTTCTGCAACAATTATATACTTGACTATATATTCCAATGCCTAGGACTGATAACAGTATGTAAGGCCCTGATTTGCCACATGTTGTCAGAATACCCTAAGTTAAAATTTATTTATTGATTTAGTAGTAAAGCAATAATCGTGGGACCCGAATGTTTCAAATTTTTGCAGCAAAATTATGGTTTGGACAGAAATATTTATTGGAAAATGTTCATTCAGCCATATCATGCTGTCCCTGTTTGTATCAAAGTGAACCGAAATAAAAACTGTTGTATATTTCCTTCACAGTGTGATCTTGGAGTGTTTCAAGTCACTCAACCACTTACAGTTTAAATGATATCAATGTATTTACATTTTAATGCATAATCATAGGCGCTCCAGAAGTTTTCGTATCATGATGACGCACAACCTAAACAACCCTAACCCCGGTACACATACTATGTTCACTAAATATCTTCTATAGAAATGGACGAGATAGTTCTATTTGTGATTTGTTTATTTTATTTATTTCTGTTATTATATGCTTCACTGGTCACAATTGTAAATACTGATCAATCAGCCGTATCATTCTGTCGATGGGACGTCAGGAGCTCTGTGTATTTGTGAAATTAAATTTCAAATCTGATTTCTTAAACCAGAACGAATGGGCTCCCCAGATTTCAACTTTCTAAAATTACATTCTTTTAATTTGTAATTTGCTCCGTTTTTATATTCTAGGACTCTAAATCTTATTTCTGCCCAATGCGCTGCCGTCCCATACACATGGCTCGAGTTAAAGAACCGATTATTCTTACAATGCCTCAATCTTTTTTGTGCATGTGTTCAAATTATGTTTTCATGAATGTTTGATAAGTTTAAAATTGCCGTTTTATTTTATGTGGTGATTCAAACATTGCTTGAAAAGTGGTTTTATGTGGTGAAAAGATTTATGTGGTGATTCAAACAAGCTTGTAAAGTGCCTGCTCAAAACCAAGCACTTTACAAGCAGTTAATAATATGCATAGAGCTACGCTATAACACCAAATCGCATTAGATTCCCAAATGACGAAATTTTTAACCAAGTAAATGCTTGTCCACAGCCACAGTGTACAATCTGCCTGTAATATTTGGCTTTACATGGATGGCCTAGTCGAATCCTATGAGAGTGGGATACAATCCTATACCCTTTCCTCTCCCTGATATATATAAATCCTATTCTAGTATTTTTGTAATGTGCCATTTGAGCAAGACATCCTCTATGCTTTCCTCTCCCTGGAATAGATCTACAGATCCTATCCTAGTAAAAGTTGAATCAAAGTTACAGCCAGTCATGCAATGCTTAGCCACAGCAGGTTCATATGATATAGTGGACTCATGTTTGAACCAATCTTTTCATGTATTTTATTCTTTCTGATTTCACTCAGTGAAATTCCTCCTTTAACCAGTGTCGGGTTTCACCACCTGGTTCCCTTAATCATTAAGGCTTAATGATTCAAATTCGAAAACTTATAGAAAGACAAATCGCGTCATTCTGTCTCAAATCAGATTTGCCCTTTTTTGTTTTTACTCGAAACCCAGCGGATGCCGAAGTAAATAGAGTGGAAGCGTTAGAAATCTGTTGTAATAAAGTCGAGTCAATACTTGAAATTTGTTTCTATCAGCCGAGTCATTTTCAACTCGAAGAAAACTTTGTTTCAAAATTTATTTTTATTATGTTTAGTCGGAGTAAAGTTTCATAAACACCTGCTGTGGTGAAAGGCCCAGTCATATCTTTATGAAGTTTGATCCAAGAACGAAGACTGATCAGCAGTGCGATAGCAAACTTAACACTTAACTCAACTCTGTCAACCAAGTAATGTTTACTGAGTGGAATCATTCGACTTGACTTTTTTGTGTGCAAGGAGAATTATTAATCAGAATAAAAAGTAGTGAAAACAATCTATCGAAGTGACTGGTTGTTCGTTAGAAGCTCTCTTGCTTCAGGGAACGGGTCACGATACAGAATTGTGCGGTATGCGAACGCATGACATACCTAATCATATTTCATGCTAAAAATATTTTCTTCCCAGGAGAAAATCGACATTCTTCCCAGCAGGCTTAATTCCTAATTTAATGTGGAATCAATGTCTGTACCTCTACCCTGCATCTAAAAAAAAATGTTTACGAACAATTGCTAAAAGCTGGGTCAAGTGCATTTACTCCAAAGTTAACGACAGAGGAGGAGGGGGGGGCAACCCCTCTCCGTTCAAATTTTTTTGAAAATTTGCTAATAACGGGTGCATTTGCATTTTGATAAAATTGCCGATTATTTTCGTGTCGCTCCCGTAGTATGTACACCAAGAAGGCGCACAACCTGAACCCTAACCTGGTACACATACTATGTTTAGGTTGTGCGCCATCGTGGTGCACATATTACGGAAGCACGGTTTTCGTCAGTGCGACGTGTGTTCTAGGTTGCTAAATTACGTTGTCATTTATCTCCCTAAATCACCACTTCACATTAACATATGCGTGTCTTGTTCCACAAGAACGACGATATAATTACTTTTTTGTTCCCACACAGAATTGTGAGTTTGTTGTAGAGCTAAGATCTGAAGCCCGACCCGACGCGAAAGTCGGGCCTGAAATGTCAATCATTACGTTCGGATCGGTCGGGCTCCTCTATCGCTGACTTTTTTTATTTAAATGAGGCGTTTTGGCCACGAGAGACCGTCGTCTACAAAAAAACAAAAGTTGCCTCATCAACACGACACATACTGTACTAAACTCTTGCAACCGCAATTCAAAGAACTTACTAAAATGTGGAATTTCGGGTTTGCTTCGGGCTCGGGTCTGTAAATCCAGTTAATCAGTCGGACTCGGGTCGGGTTTAATACCCTCGGGCCTGGGTCGGGCTGGGCTGGCATTTTTGAGCCCGATTTTACCTCTAGTTTGTTGTGATAAACAGTTATTTTATTAAATTTACTGGCAATGAGATGCTACAGCAAAAGAAGGAGTGAATCCGTAACCCAAAATTTTGCTCAAAAAACGGCATTATAAAATACCAAAAATAAAACGATTGGAAACACCATAAGTTTAATTTTCAGGGGGTCCGCGACAGATCAAAAATGCTTTGGTGAACATTAAAAATCGAAAGTTCGGATTGTCTTTGAAAATTTCACCGTTTATCGGGAAATACAAATAAGATATAATCGGAGACATTGCGACACGTTTTTATTGCCCCAGTATTTTGGAATAGTAATGCATATATATTTTTAATCAACGCAACACAACTGAACGCAATTAAGTTAATAAGGCAAGACATTTTAAATATACCCTTATCGGTCGTCAATTGAAATATTTGCGCTGTTGTACTCTACGGGATTCTAACGGAGCAAGCAATGCTGAAAGAATATGTCAAATATCGCAAAAATCTGAATCTAATTAAATTAAAGCAGGTCATTGCGTATTTTATGTTCGCAGATTGCCGTAGTATTGTAGAGCAGAGCCTCCAATACAGGTGGGCAAGATACAAATGACTGAATGAAACCACGGCCGCACCTTTAAATTGACACATAAAGCATTGTAACGTCATAAGCATAGATAAAAAAAAATTGGACTCAGGTATAGGTAGGGTTTGCAACGCACAAAGACTGGAATTACTCGCTAGATTAAACTAAATTAAAAACTTGTTTCGCTGACCATTCAAAAGTGGCGCTTATCCACAGGCAGCATCATTTTTTCTTGCGGGCCGCACACCCCTGTTGTAAAGTGTTTATGCTCCTATTTCACCTTGAGTAGGCGAGTTATAATGAACACAATTAACTCAATATGGCAAGACATTTTATATCCTCATATCGCCCATGCATTGATCGAATATTTTACGCAACAGAAATATCGCTATGCGATGAAAAAGTCGGCTATTTTTAAACAAGTGGCGTAATCGCAGCGCTTTTTTAGAAGCCGTCGCACGGGAATTTCCGATTCTTGAACCACTCGCCCCTTTAGAAATCCTAGCCCTGGTTTAAAGATACTGATCTACCGTGTTTCTCCGATAATAAGTCCTAGCCTGAATTTTTAAAATGATTTTAATATATGTCCTCCCCTTAAAATAAGACCGATTGCGAATTTTTTTTCTACCCAGTCGATAGCAAGAAATATCACATACCCGTTTTAAATGATTAATAATCCATGTTCTGCAGTTATTCATAATGAATACTGTTAAGTATAAGTAAATGGATATCGGTTTCCATATTTCGTATATTTAGAAATCTCGTAATTCTCTACTTTATAATTTGTTTTTGATAAATGAAAATATAAGACATTCCCCGAAAATAAGTCCTAGTGTTATTTTTCGGAAGAAAATTGAAATAAGACCCAGTCTTATTTTCGGGGAAACCAGGTATGAGATTCAGATTTTATTTTCGTCATGCAAAACCAATATACGATATGAAAAAATAAAAAAAGGCATATAACAAATTACGAAGACGGATATCGGCTTGTTGCAATAGACGAGGGATCGCGAAAGCCTCAAAGGGTCATCCAGTCAGCGACACCTTGTAGCTGCATTGAAGCAGCAAATATAGCAACCGAGCAACTCAATATTAAATAGTCACTAAATTTGACACAATCATATATATAGAAAGGACAACAGAAAGAATACCTTTAAGCTGCTAATGCCACAATGACCACGAAAAATTACCTAAACATTCACGAAAAATTACTGCTCTCTGGCGGTATTCTTATTTAAAGGTGGGTTATCACGCAAACATATTTGTAGCAAATTTGATTCGATATAATATTTAAGATTTTTAGCGTTTACAGTTTGCATTAAGTGGATTTCGTTTGCGAGAATCGAAATTTTAAAAGTAAACTCTGTCGAAATCGAACGCAAATCGGTATGTCCCGTGGATGACGTAGTACTGTGAATTCGTCGGCGTAATTTTGCATTAGTTCAAAGGCAATTATATCCTTTGGTGTATTTATTTTGAACAGTATGCCAGTTATTTTGGGCGATGCATTTGGCAAACGCTACAGTTGGGTAAATACATACCAATATCTTCAATTATTATCGTTGCATTATTATAAATCAGATTGGTCCAAACGCGTGCGGAATTTCATTGTTGTATCTATAAACCTCAAGACGGTGGCTATACGTGAATGATGTCCTGTGATCGGTAAAAGAATAATGAATTTTCTTTTTCTGACAGCACCAAGCTGATGAGATGAGTTCGCGTTTTGTGCCTTGATTTTAGTCAAAACACTCTTCTATTTTCAAGCGGCCATGTGACGGCAGTGACGAACCGCAAAGATGACTTAGCACCGCGCAATTCAGTTTTCTTTTTATCTGAGTTCGAGTCCCAACTTAGACGACTTGCTTGTTTTTTGACGGTAGTACTAGGCCTGTTCACGCTACAAGTAAGTGTAGAAAAAAGGTGACCGAGGTAAACTGAGAGTAAACGTATTTTCCTGCCCATAGCAACGTTAAACCACAGTGTCTGGTGTGTTTTCAAGTAAAATCTTTCTCGAAAGCATATAATTTCAAGCGACAATACGAAACCAAACACGAGAAAAGATACCGAAAATACCATGATATTTCTCGGCAAGCAATTTCAAAATAACTAAAGGCTTAATATGGATTCTTAGCGATAAACTCATTCATTTAAAGTAAGTAAACTCGCGATGTTTTAATCACTTTTGCGGTTTCTCCGACTGCGGCCTGCGAGACCACCCGAAAGGTTTTTGCGGCCCTTCAACCTCGCAACCTTATAATGTCTCTTTTCTTGAAAGCTAGAAAACCACTAATTTCAATATTTATCATGCAATCCATTCGTATATATAGCTACTTTACAATGATAATAATATTAAGTTTAATTACTATGTCCATGGGTTTTAAAAAAGTGAATAGAATGTGAGGAATTTTGGAATGTATTCGAAATTCCAGATTCTAAAATGTTTTTTTAGTCAAGTATTCAGTTATGAGTTATGACAAGCCTTGTGTGAACGTTTCCCCGACCTTTGACCTGTAAAAAATTAACCCTATACGTAAAATGTTGAACGCTTTATCTGAGAGTGTTTTGGAGAGTCAGCACTTACAAACTGGCTCACATGTTCAAATCTATCATTTTTATTCAAAACATTAAAGCGCATGCTGCGTACAAGTACTGCTAGCTAATTTTAGGGTATCTATTTCAGGATATTCTATCGCAGCCTTTGCGGTACCAATTTTTAATTATTGCAACTAAACTAAATGTCATCCATAGATAAATTGAGTCGTTTAATTTACTA